ATAATAATACGATTTAATAACATATAATTTTTTTAATTGACCAACTTTTTTTTATATTCATAATTATACAATTTTATATAAACTTAGTACTTACATCAATATGTGTATAACCTCGGCTATTTTATAAATTAAAACTAAGCCAAATTTATATTAGGATATAAAAACTTATAAGTTTGTACTATCGAAAAAAGAATCGATTTTAATTTTGGTGCAAATTACAATTGCTATTTCTTACTACCTGAGGATGGTGCAAATTACATATCTTTATTTTGGTGCAAATTACAAACGCACTTTAAAAAAATGGTAAAAATTACACATGTTGTAAATATTTTGGGTAAATDTTGGTGCAAATTGACTACAGCCGGAATTTGAACCGCCGTGTGTAGGTACGTTTTTTGTATATTTATGCGTTATTGAAACATTCTCGGTTATTTGATGTGGTAGTACAATTATAATCACATCGAACAGACCAAAATCTGTTGGACTTGGATTCGACGGATCTTTGTATTTAAAACTGATTGAAAACATTCTACAACTCTACCGATGTCGATACAGAGGCAATAATTRCTAATTATTACGAAAACGAATGATCACTCTAAGTCGTTTTATGCGGCGTCGTAGATCTGTATAAATTATATAATATTGGATATTATGAGACACTGAAATTATAGCTTAAACCATACAACACGTAAACAYTCCCAAAACGATTATATACATACAGTGATATTATTGTGATGTTTGTGATTTATTATTTTCTATGTTCGCCTCCGTTCAATAATTCGTAGACGGTTTGCGCTGCGTCATCATGTGGCGTTCATTCGACGTCGGAGTCACGCTTTTCGTCGTCCTGCTGGTTGTTGGCGAACAGCTACAGAACTCGGTGGCGATCAACTCACCCGCCGCCAAGAAGACGAGCGACGGGTCGTTCAGCGTGTGGTTTCGTCCCGAGCCCGGTCTGCCCCGCAAGAAGGACATGAAAGTCGACAAGCTCAACCGACTCATCGGCGCCGATTTCAACGAAATGTGGATGAGCAAAACGGCAATCGTTATAACGGTACGTTATTAATAATTGACGATGATATTTTATTGTTGCGCTTCGCGTATACATTGTTGTCGCCCCGCAATGTTTGTTTACGATATTGTAGCTCGTATATTGRTTATATAGGCGCAGTTCTACCCGACTTTCTAAGTGTTGTCGGCGATGTTTCAGAATCGAAAACTAACCAGAAAGTACCCAACTATATACGAGATATTTGGTTTCATAACAGATAAGGGGGACGTTTGTCATACGGTTTTTTTAAATTTTTATCATAATAATTATTATTAATTTAATCGGTAAGATATTAACGTTTATGAAATTCTATTAAGTTTGGATATCAGTTAATTATACATTACAAAATTATTCGAAAAAATTTAAAAATAAATAAAGTACTACCCATAAACGTACATTATAATTATTCTTAAAGATATTGGGTGCTATAAAGAAAAGTAAATAGGCGTTTTATACTGTACAGAACTTCTGTAAAATAATGACGAAGAATTTTATATTAAAAAAAAAAATTAAAAAAAGCGGGTAAGTCGTGGATGTCGCTCTGCTGTACAGTAGGTTACTGTAAATGGATGGGATTAAATTTGAATGCAATGATAGGTATCGTTGTATACGAAAAACGATTCTGAACGGAGATGATTTGTCAGTCTAGGATATATTATATTTAAATATCGTCATATATTCTATTTTGAAACAAATATTTTATTTTTCAATTAAGACGCATTT